AAGAGAAAAACAGAGAGGGTTTTTCCAGGGCCTGGAACATTTGACCTGCGGCCTCTCATACAGTCTCATTTATCTTGTTATTTTCTCTCTTTTTTTAAACCTATCACACAGCTCTGTTTTTTTCTTTTCTTTTCTTTTGAGATGTCTGGTTCTGTTACCCAGGCTGGAGGCAGTGGCGCGATCGCAGACTGCAGCCTCAATCCTCCTGGGCCTGCCATCCTCCCACCTCAGCCTCCTGAGTAGCTGGGACTACAGGCATACGCTGCCACACCTGGCTAATTTTTAAAATTATTTGGAGAGACAGAGTTTTGCCACATTGTCCAGTTGAACCAAGAACTCAAAGTCCTGGCTCTGGCGACCCTCCCACCTGTGGTCCTCAGTAGCTGTGGACTACAGGTGTGCACCACTATACCTGCAATTTTTGTTTTTCATTTTATAGGCGCAGGTCCTGCTATGTTGCCCAGGTTGGTCTCAAACTCAACTCCTAGCCTCAAGTGGTCTCCCACATCAGCCTCCCATGTAGCTGGGATTACAGGTACAATAATACGCAGTGCTAATTTTAAAGCTTTAGTAGAGATGGGTCCTCTCACCATGTGGCCCAGGCTGGTCTCAAGCTCCTGATCTCATGATCCTCCCACCTCGGCCTCCCCAAGTGCTGATTATACATGAGTTTCACAAGACTCCAGCCTGGATTTACAACCCTACTATATCTTCTCATATTCATGAAGCTTCTGTGACATTCTGTCACTCATACAGTCATTTTCTGGTGTCATGATTCCAGCCTTACCACAGTCTCCTTCTAACAGTTTCACACACACAATCATATGTTAACAGCTCAGGTCCCACTAGCTTATTATTGCCAATATTTCTCTCACCAGTCAGCCCTTACATATGCATGCACACTCGCCAATCTCATGAAATGTTGAGCCACTTCACATTTGGCCTGTTACTTCTAAGTATACACAAACAGTCTGATTTATAGTCACCACTAACTAGTCTCTCATGAAGTTTCCTGTATATGCACAAAAATCACTCCTCCTACCCTTTCTCACTCAAGCCACTTTTTCACACCCACGCCGATCCTGGCTATAGCCCCACGAAGACATTCACACGTATACACCATGCAGCCAGGCATCTCAGATACCACACAATTTGGGTCTCACGCTTTCCAGTCAGCTTCCAGCACCCCTAGTCTCTGATTTACAGCCTTGGCAAAGTCTCTACGGTGGCGGGTTTTACCAAATATATAATCAGTTTCTAGCCACTGTCTTGAGGTCATCACTGTCCCTCAGTCAGGCTTCTGATATACTCGGTCATCATTTCACAATCACCATTAGGCCCTTTACAAGCCAAACACAGTCACTCCAGGCCCTGTCTTGGTCATGTAATAATTGCCATTTTCATATGGGAAGCCTGCATGATACACGTGCACAGCTTTACAAGTTTCTCACACACCGCCATGGCTGTCACAGTGTCTCATTTGTTTCATTTTGCATGGCTTTGGATTTATGGTTGCTTATGAACTGTTTCACAAACTTGATGCTCTGACATCACCTATTGTCAAGTTCCTTCCTATAGTCGCCACCTCAGTTACTGCTACTGCAAGTCTCTCATCAACAGTTCTGCCCTTTCCTCGCACCCAGTGACACGGTCTCCCACACCATGTCAGTGGTCTATCTGCCAGGCCTTCTCCCCCACTTCCTCACAGCCCCTGAACCTGTGGGACAGAATGTGGCAGTATGAAAATCATTTGCGCCAGCTCAGGTGTATACACACACACACACACACACGGCCTGTCACTCTCTCAGTCACAGTGCCATATCTGCTTTTCTAGTCTTGCTACACAGTCTCACGCCTGCTTTCGTGACACAGTTGCACCTTCTGTATCTTTGGTCTCAGTTGGTCATCTCATAGCCATTCTCTCCTCGTATTTATCAAGTTCGGGACTAGTCTTTACTTAGCTGATGCTGACAGCCTCAAGTAGTTTTGTACATTATTCATTTCTCAAAAATTTGAGTCACTATAATGAGGTTTGTCACTCATAAGAATCTTTTTATAATCCAATAACTCTCCTGTGAGTTTCAGTGCCCACGAGTCTCCTACATGTGGTTTTGGTCACTCAGTCTGTCTTGCTTACCATCAAACACTGACGGGCTGCAGTCCCCACTTTCTCGAGATATTATTTTGTGCATACTATCACAGGTTCTTACAGTACCTGACTACTGGCCCAGGCCTGTTATTTTCTGAAACACGGCCGCGATTTCTACATAGACACACCATCAAAAGTCTGTGGTCACAACTTCTGTACTTTCACAATCACAGCTTCACATCTCTGACACACCACGTGGTTACCAACATGCAGTCCTCAGCCGCTGTTTTCACAGCACACGCCATCACACCATTTCCTACGATCAACCCCTGCCTCACACTTCCACACAGCTGTCATGTTTTGTCACACTCAGCTGGTCCTTACATCAGAGAAAAAGTGCCAGCAGCCTCCAGCATCACTTTGAAAAATATATATTTACAGGAACACCTCTATCTTCTGGGACTCTTGAAAAAAGGTCCATTTTGGGGAAGTAAAACAAACAGTGGAGGATGAGGTAGTACCGTCTCTCTAAAATTACCAACTCCCAGGTCTCATAGCCTGGGCTGGGCCAGCTAACAGGTGGAGCCTGAGGAGTCTTTGAACTCACTCTCTGCCTAGAATAGAGACAGGACAGGCTTTATGTCCTCCATTCCTCCCTCCCAACTCCAGGGACATTGAAAGGGTCTCTTGTACCCGCCCGCAGGAAATTGGGGGCTGGGAGGGAGGGAACTGAAAATACAATGTTTGGTATCAAAAATGAAACACTTGAGGGGGGAGGCAGGAAGATTCCCCCCAAATCCTCTCCCTTCCTACCCACCTCTACCAAATATAGGAAGAGATGACTTCTCTCCCCATTGAAAAGCCCCATTTAAAAATAGATTATCAAAATGGCAGCGTGGGGGAGAGACAGGAGACCTGAGAACTGGCTGGAGGTCTTCCAGACGGACCACCTCAAAACCTCCATTGGGAGGAAATATGGGAGGACCTCAGGAGAAGGGCAGACAAGAACAGTTTTCAGGGAAGAACAAACAGTATGGACATTCTCTCCTGGGCCCGTGCTGGTTGGAAAAAGGATAAGCTGTCTGAGAGAAAGGCTGGGAGGTGGAAATTTCATTCCAAGGGTGTGATTCTTCCTCTTCTGCCAAGACTCAACCCATTAATGGTATAATTCTTTCCTGGACTCTATATGGGCTAGAAGAATAAAACAAAATAAACTTAACTTTCACTACATCTGAAAATGGGAGATAGGGCTTCTCTCATCTCCCCAAGGGCAGGCTGAGAAGTTGTGGTGAAAGAAAGGCTGCCCTCAAGCCAGACCCTGACTTGTCTTGTCTTGGGGAAAAAAAGGGGAGGGGGAGATGTCCAACCACCCTAAAGGTTAGGTCAGGCTCCTCCCAGTGGCCTTCAAAAAATAAATAAATAAACCGCCCCTACCATTGATGTAGGAGACGGTAATGGCGGCCACTAGGGACTATAGAAAACAGAGACGTTGTGGAAGCTGTGTGTTTTCTGTGGAGGAGATAATGAGAATCACTCTTGGGAGTCATTCTTCCCATGATCCCCACCCTGGCCAATCAGAGCATGAGTCTTCAGTTGAATCTTATGTTTTCTCCTTGAGATGGCTGGCTGGGTAGAGCATGGATGGAGGACTCTGGCGTAGTGGTGGTGGCGGGTGGTGGTGGTAGGAGCTGCGGCTTCTGGGGCCCTGGGAGTACCACGGGGGCTCTAGAGGCCATCCACGGATGGAAGGGATGTGCACCTGGGCGCTGCCACTGGATGGAAACTGGGGGTAAAAAGAGGGAGAGGTCACAGATGGGGGCCAGCCTGGGTCTGTCACCCTGTCCAAAATGGGGAAAGAGGATCCTACCTGGAAGGAGAGCTTGGCCGGGCATGGGCGCAATGGGACTCTAGGTGCCCAGAAGGGTGAATGCTGGGAGGCAGCGAAAGGTGTCAGCACCAAGTTCATGGGGAGAGGGGTGGTTGGAGCTCAAGTGAGAGAGAGTGATGTGGGATGCTGAAGGACTCTGGGTAGCCTTAGCCTCTACCACAGATTTCCCACCACACTCCCAGGTCACTCCCAAAGTGCACACACCTAGATGGGTAAATTCATGGAGACCATGCCTGGCGATCTCTCAAACTCCGTAGACACCCCCCCACTCCCCTATTCCGAGAGCCCACCCTCAGAGACCTCATTGGTCAAGACCACCCACAAGACCCTATCCAAATGCTGCTCTCAAGTCACCATCCAAACAGCTCAGGGTCAACTTCTTAAATCCATGTCCCACCCGTGAAATCCTACATGCAATCCCAGACCAAAACTCCCGTTTGTATTCCTAAGCCACACCCCAACCCAGAAACAGTCCCACAGAGCCCCTGGTCCCACCTACAAAAGTCCCCAGCCCTGCTCTCACTAATCAAACCTCATCCCTCCAGTCCAGCGCCAGCTCAGTCAATTCCACTCGAAGGCTCCACCTCTTCAGGACAACCACATCTCGCCTCCTCTGATTCCTGTTAGTCACCTGCCACATGCCAGTCCTGATGGGGTTGGCACTCCACCCATCCCACCCTCCGCAGGCACTCACCAATGTATGCGTAGGGAAGCAGGGACGGAGTTAGCGCTGCCCAGGCGCCTGGAGGCCGGAGCCAGTTCCCGATCCTGGGGTCCGCTCGGGTCTCTGGCCCACCGAGCAGGCCTGGCCAAGAGCGAAGCTGTGTCCTGGCTCTGCCCTTTGTGGGCTGGGAGATCTCAGGGCTGAAGCTGCAGGGCCGCCCGCCTGCTCCTGCGGTGTCCATAATGACCTGCAGCCGGGATGGTACGCCTCCTGTGGAGGGACTTGGCCTGGCCTGGTAGTTTCGACACAAACCCTCTCTCCCTGGCAACTTCCAACTCTTCCTGGGCCCCCTTCCACTTTCACTTCTGGGCAAAGCCTGGCCCAAACCTGGGTCCACATTCAGCTCTTCCGATTTCAGGTTTAGGGCCTCGGCGAGCCAGGATGACCTGGGAGAGGAGCAGGTATAAAGAGGGTAAGGATTGTTGGGCTACAGAGTTCTCCTGTGGGCTACCCAGTGATTTTCCCGGGAAAGTGGCACTTGGCACTGGGGCATGACTACACATCAGAGCAGGTTCTCCAACAGGACATAGGACTTCACCAAGCGAAGTAGGGCTTCTTGGGGCAAGTCCTATGTCAGGACTTGGGGGTAAGACAACCTGAAGCAGGTAGGAATCTTTGAGGGATACCATCCTCATTCATTAAACAGTGGTTCTCAAAATTTACTTCTGAACCAGCAACATCTGCCTCATTTGCAATGTTGTAACATAAATTATTGGGGCCTTCCCCAGCCTGCACATATCTAGAAACTCAGGGTGTGCCTGCAATCTGTGGTTTAACAAGTCTCTACAGGTGATTCTGATGAGCTAGAGTTGAGAACTAGTGCATTAAACAAATATATTTCAGGCACCTACATGTTCGGGCAGCGCTAACTGTAGCACAGTATTCTCTCTTTCTGTCTCAGGACGGTGTAGTTTCTGGGCCCATCCTCTTCTAAGAGGATGTCTTGTGTTCTTCCTTCCACCATTATCTCCTTTAACAGGAGCACTATGTCTCTCTACCAGCCTCCTCATCATCTGGGATTACACATCCAGCCTCTCTTTACTGCCTCTTACTGGATTTCTATATTCCAGTCCTTACCTCAGAGGCCGCCTCCTCAGCCTCCAGGCAGGTCCATGGGCTTGACTGGTGCCTGCTCCCTGAGGGGGCGCTGTTCTGCAGGAGCTGGGTATTGGGGAGCACCAGCAGGCCGAGGATGAGGTGGCTGTGGCTGCAGAGACTGGATGGTGAAGGTGGAATAGAGGCCCTAACGCATGTACTGTTCCGCTGCTGCGCAAGCAAAACCACCTCCGGGCTGCCATTCCTGCACCTCGGGGTGTGCCTGGCTTTTCTAGAGGCAGTGTCCCCTGGGCGGTATGTACAGCAGCAGGGGCCACTGGCATGGCGGATGTAACAGACACCTCTGGCTGGGGCGGCAGTCCTCAGTGAGCAATTCTGCGACCTCAGGATAGGATACACAACTTGTAGACGAACTTCTGGCCGCTCACCTTGCGGATGATGTTCTAGGAAAGGGAGTGAGAGGAACAGAGAGGGCCTGAGAGGAAAGGGGCAGGCTGGAGGCAGGTGTGTGTATGATGGGTGGAGGGTGTTTCTCTTCCCAGTGGCCTTCCCACTTGCCCTCTCTGGCTTTCCTGTCCTCCTCTGTAAGTTCCTCCTCAGCCTATCAGCCCATCTCTCTCCCGTTGGTTTCGCTCCTTTCCTCTCCCTAGATTCCTCTTATCTATCCTCCCAGTTCCTCCCCTTTCCCTCTTCTCCACAACAATTCTGTCTTTAAGCCCCTTCCCATCCACCCCTTTCCAAGCCTCCCTCTGTCACTGTCACTTCCAGGTTCCATCGTATCTTGATTTTTTCCTCACCCCCACACTGTGGCTCCTCTTCACAATGGCCTGCACAAGCAGAAGGCGGGGAGGCCCTTCTTGGTCTCCAAGAACTAGGTTCAGGCCAGGCCTTGTGGGTGATCATTGTACACAGTTTTGGTGACTAGCAAATGCAGTAAGACAAGAAAATGAAGTAACTGATATAAATGTTAAAAGGAAAGGAATTATAATGTAGATGGATGGGCGATAAATTATTAATACAGAGGATTATTTTAGCTAATGACATAGAATGAATAGGCAAGGTCACTGCAGAGGAGAGGCTGAGGAGGCCCCCACTATTAATACCACTGTGGAGGCTAAGCTGAAGGTAAGAAAATGAAGTAACTAACAGCAATTAGACAAGAATATTAAAAATAATGTATAACATTGGAGAGGGCCTATATCAAGGCTGGCTTGGGTGGGCTACAGAGCATGTTTGGGGTTTTTCAGGTCTGTGGTCTCAGAGATGACCTAGTGTTCTAGAGGGCACAGGAGGGAGCCTCATTACTATTGTTCTGGGAGGGTTGAGCTCAAGGAATAAAATATGAAAATGGGAATAAATGCCATAAACTATGAAGGGTGTGCAGCATAGGTCCAGGCTGTTCTGGGGGGCCACGGGCAAGAGGAGGTGGGAGCACGAGGGCATTCCAAGTAGTCTTAGTGCTGGACAGATATGTCACAGGGTGGGCCCGTGTTTCTCAAAAGAGGAACAAAAAAGGATATTCATGAATACTGTTTGGGAAGTTTCAGCAGGAGGAATAAGGAGATGAAATAACTTGTATAAATATCAGGGGAGGAACTCAGCAGTGGCCTGGGGTCTGAGAGGGCAGAATGGGGAAATTTAAATTTAGCTGTAGGAATAAGATAATGAAAACAATTGATATAACATTGGGGTAGACCAGTGCTGCTCTGGGAATTTGAGGAAGATAGGGTGAAGCTGTACTAACATGTTGTTGCAGAGGTTTTAGCTTGCTGAATAAGAGAAGAAATATCTGTTAAAAATGTTGGGGTCCTAGAGGACAAAGCAACCAAAAATAGATGATACTGTCAGGAGGTTTTGATTCTAGGAATACGAAATATTCTGGAATAAGAGGCAGACAAGATCTAGGGGGTTTGAGCAATGGTCTAGGGCTCTAGAGGATAGAATGAGGACTAGCCATTATTAATGTTATGTTTTCAAAAATGTTGGCTATAGGAATATGACACGAAAATGAAATGTGCATGGCAGGGCAGCATCACTTTGGGGATCTCTAAGAGGAGTAGGATTAGTATTAATAATGCACGCATGGTTTTTACAAAGCAGGATAAGAAAGTAGGTGAGATAGTGCTTAGGGGCCTAATACTGGCCTGACGGTACCAATGGGATGGGTTAAAACCATAAATTTTAACATTGTTTTCTACAAAGCTGTTAGCTATGGCAACTGCAAACAAAATCAAATCTCTGATATAAATGAGCATGGGGTCCTGGAAACTTGGTCTGAGAGACTGTACCTTGTTTATGGAGTAGTAATTACAAGGCCCGGCTTATTATTTGTAACTATGTTGGTCTTGTTCTTGCGTAGCCCCAGACGGGCCAAATTTCCTCTGCATCCACTCAGCTTGAATTCACCACCACATCCTGTCCAGGAGATGATGTGGCCATTGCCTTGCTCTTCTCAGCAGCTGCAGCAGAAACTGCTCGCAGCGCCACAGATGGGTCCATCGCTGGGGGAGGTTTCATTACGCCATCCCAGGGGTAGACTTATATAAACAGCTGAGTTGAGAGGCTGTGGACATAGGAGGGGCAGAGGCTGAAGCGGGAGGAGGATTCTCGTCATCTTTTCCATCTCTGTCTCCTAAACCTACCATCATTCCCCAAACATTCTGACTAACTTCTAGCCTCAGTCCAGCTTGGGATGCTCCTGTGATGGGATACAACCATGAGTATCTTAGGATGGTGGAATGATTTGCCTGTGGGACAAATGTGAATCTGTGGCGGCCAGAGGACAGACTGTGGCAGGCCAAATGATGCTACCCCCTACTCCACATCCTAACTCTTGAACCTGTATGTTATTTACACTCATATAGCAGAAAAGAATCCTGTATGAAATTACACATAAACCTTTAAGACAGGGAGATTATTTCTGGATTATTTGATTAAATTCAATCTAATCATATGAGCTCTGAAAAGCAGATGATGAAGAAAGAAAGGTAGCCTGTAGATGTGATGACAGTAAAGAGGCAGGAGATTCAAAATGTGAGAGGGACTCAACCTGCCATTGTTAGTTTTGGTAAGATGGAGGAAGGGTCAGAGCCAAGGACTGGGGGCAGCCTTCAAAGCTGGAATGGCCATCAGCTGATAGACAGTAAAGAAACAGGGAATTCAGTCCTATGACCTCAAGGAATTGGATTCTGCCAACAACTTGAATGAGCAGGAAATGGATTTCTTCCTAGAGCCCAGTAATGAACATAACCCTGCCACACTTTTGATTCCCAGCCCACTGAGACCAGTGTGGGACTTCTGACCTATAACAATTTTTTTGTTTTTCTGTGACTTCAAAATTCTCCTCAGGTCAACAGGCACAGGTATAAATATAACTCATTATTTAAAATTTTTTTTTTTTTTGAGACGGAGTCTCGCTCTGTCGCCCAGGCTGGAGTGCAGTGGCGCCATTTCGGCTCACTGCAAGCTCCGCCTCCCGGGTTCACGCCATTCTCCTGCCTCAGCCTCCCGAGTAGCTGGGACTACAGGTGCCCGTCACCACGCCTGGCTAATTTTTTTTTGTATTTTTAGTAGAGACGGGGTTTCACCGTGTTAGGCAGGATGGTCTCGAACTCCCGATCTTGTGATCCACCCGCCTTGGCCTCCCAAAGTGCTGGGATTACAGGCATGAGCCATTGCACCCAGCCACAAATATGTTATTTTAAGCGGCTAAATTTGTGATAATTTATTACAGCAAGAATAGAAAATTAGTTCCATCCCCCTTATTTGAGCGTTATCTGTATCTTCTACCATATAAATGTTAAGTTTTTCAGGCTTTTTTTTGCCAGAGCCTTGCAAAGGCTGCTCACTCCACGTGGGGCTTCCTTCTTCTGCCTAGCAGTCTTTCTCATCTTTCAAGTTCTACCTTGAAGGTCCTTTCCTTTATGAAGCTGTCCTAAAACTGAACGCCTGATCTCTCTGTCCTGTTACTATCCCTGAATGTTCTCTTCGTTTTTTTTTTTTTTTTTTTTTTTTTTTTTTTTTTTTTTTTTTTTTTTTGAGATGGAGTCTCTCTCTGTCGCCCAGGCTGGAGGGCAGCATAGTGGCACAATCTTGACTCACTGCAACCTCTGCCTCCCAGGTTCAAGTGATTCTCGTGCCTCAGCTTCCCGCATAGCTGGGATTACAGGTACCCACCACCACGACCGGCTAATTATTGTATTTTTAGTAGAGACATGGTTTCACCATGTTGGCCAGGCTGGTCTTGAACTCCTGACCTCAAGTGATCCACCCACCTCCCACCTTGGCCTTCCAAAGTGCTGGGATTACAGGTGCGAGACACCATGCTCGGCTCTGAATGTTCTCTTTCTCGATGACAGCAATAATTAACATCTATTGAGAGCTTAATACACATCAGGCACTGTTCTAAGCAGAGGCAATATGACCTGCTGGACAACTGCCCAGGCACTAGGGCCAGACTGCCAGTGTTTGAATCCTGGTTCTGCCACTTATTAGCTGTGTGACCCTGTGCATATTCTTTTTCTTTTTTTTTAGAAATGGGGTCTCACTACGTTGCCCAGGCTGTTCTTGAACTCCCAGGCTCAAGCAATCCTCTCTCCCTGGCCTCCTAAAGTGCTAGGATTATAGGCATGAGGCACCACGCTTGGCTGATATTCTTTAACCTCTTTGTACCTCAATTTTCTCATGTGTAAAACAGGGATAATGATATGCCCATTGCTAAAATGGGGATAACAATACCTAGTTCATAGAGATATTATATAGATTAAATATTATATGCCTGAGGTATATGATAAGCTCTAAATATTAGTTTCTGATTTGTTCATAGTCCCTTATCTGCTATTCCAAAATCCAAAATGCTCTAAAAGCAGAAAGCTTCTTATACCTCGTTTGGCAGCAAAACCTGATTTGAAATGAAACAAGGCCCTTTCTGGTCTTTATTGATTCTCACTTAGTGTGAGAGTGTTCATACATTTTGCTGCATAAATATGAACACAGCCGACTGCAGAGCTTACTAAGGGGTGTTATGTAACATCGTATATGCATCATGTTACCTTTCTGAAATCTGAAGAAATCGAAATTCTGAAACGCATCTGGCACCAGGGGTTTTGGGTAAGGGCATGTACACCTGTACTGTTATATTTTTTTAATGGGCATTGACTCATTTATCCCTTATCACGCCTCTGAGAAGTAGGTAGTCTTACTGTCATTAATTTATAAATGAGGCAGCGGAGGCACAAATGTCTACGTACCTTCCACAGTCCACAAGTGGAAGAGCCAGCATTTGGAGCCAGGCAGTCAGGTTCCAGTTGGCTAAGCATCTCACTATCAGACTAAATGGCCCCTCACACCAACTGCTCCCTCTTAGCATGTCCCTCAAAGAACAGGATCCTCCCTGTCACCCCATTACTGCTTTCTTTCCTGAGAGCAAACTGGAAATAAACATGAGCTTCCTGTTCAATTATACAAGTCACAAAGCCATGAAGTGTCCGATTAGAGAGTCCTGTCACCAGAGACCTCACTGAATTTGTTTTGCAGGCAGGCTTGTTTCAAAAGCCCAAAGAGTTCAGAGTGACTCCTGGTGGCAAAGACAGGCAATTTTACCAGTTCCTCTTTCAGCTGCAACAGCACCTATCAGCTGAGTGAAAGATCACAGTGGGCTTCCAGCTTCAATAGCACATACGGCTTTGTATTTTGTCATTTCTCCCACTTGACCCCTCATAAGAGTTCTAGCGATCTGCCTTGCTTGGATATGTTTACTTCTTTCCATCTCCTTCACTTAGCAAGCTTTTGGTGAGTGGGCCAGGTGCTGCGGATACAGCCGAGAACGAAACAGACAATGCCTGCTCCAGAGGAGCTCACATCTTAGCAGGGAAGGCAGGTGAGAAACAAGGCAAACATGTACAAGAGTGCGTCGAATGGTGGGAAGGATTATGGGAAAAGAAATCAAGCAGGGGAGAGTTGTTCCTTTCACATGGAGAGTCAGGGGAGAGTAGTCACCAACGAGGGGACAACTGGGCAGAGACCTGAAGGAAGTGAAGGAACTGGGCTCGTGAGTATCTGAGAGCAGTGAGCCAGGTGGAAGTGGCAGCCAGTGTGAAGGGCCCAAGGCTGGAGACTGGTAGGTGACAGGGGGAGAGGTGGCCAGCATGGGTTGTGGGGAGAGCAGGGAGGCAGCGGGAGAGGTGAACAGAGTGACGGGGGCCAGACTGAGCCAGGCTTTTTCGGGCGCTGTCAGGACGTTGAGAGAGACAGGAGCCACGAGAGGGTTGTGAACAGAGGGATGACAGGCTGTGACTGAGATTTTAACAGGATCCCCCTGGCGGTTGTGAGGAGAATAGACTATCGGGGCTGAAGAGGCCACTGCAGTAGACGATGGTGGTAGCAGTGGGGCTGGCGAGAAGTGGCTGGGTTCTGGAGAAAGCCTGAACACAGAATAGGACTTGCTGACAGATAGCATGCCTGGGGGAGGTGAGAGAAAGGTCCAGGGTGAGTCTAGGTTTGTGGCCTAATTACCCACAACGACAGCATTGTGGTCAGCTGAGGTGGGAGCCTCGCAGGAGAGTAAGTTTTGAGGGGGGTCACGCCAGTTTTGGAGATGGTCAGTTTCAGAGGCCTGTCAGACACCTACGGGTATGCTATGAATACATTTTAATAATTTAAAAATGCAAGCCAGGCATACGATGCTTACCATGTGCTGCACACTCTTTGAATCATTTAACTCACTGAATCCTCAAACCACCATTAAAGGGTGGGGATTATCATTTCCTCCATTTTCCACATGAGGCAATGGAGGTACAGAAAAGTAACCTGCCCAAGTCACACAGCTGGAAGTCGGCAGAGCCGGAATTCAAAACATAAGTGGTATGGCTCTAGTGAGCAATCCTAGCCACCTTACACCACCCGTTCTCCATGAAGAGAAACAGAGAAGGGTAAGATCCTAGAGAGTGACAGGAATGCTGTTTTACACAGGGTGTGCAAGGAGTTCTTCCCCAAGGAAGTGACACCTGGCCTGAAGGAGGGGAGGTAGCAAGCCAGGATGCCCTCTGTGGGGGAGGGCCTCCAGGCGGAGTGAACGGCGTGTACAAAGGCTCTGAGGCAGCCACCCTGAACTATCTACCGTTCCGAGACAGTTCCAACCTCTGAGGGTAAGCACGGGCTGCTCTCCCCTCAGGGAGAGCTCTTCCCTCACTTCATGGACTCAATTACACAATCATCGCGTTCCAGGAAGAATTCATTCTTCCTCTGCGTGATCGAAGGTGCCAAATAACCTGCCTGCTCTTGCAAATCTGTTCTTTCTGGGTCTTCAGCCTTATGTTCCTCTGCCCCTGTTCTGGCTATTCTGGCTCAAAGTTACCTTGGGCAAGTTACTCAGCCTCTCTGTGCCTGTTTCCTCATCTGTAAAATGGGGATATTTTACTCTCAAAGTCAAATATTCTCAAAAGTACACGTACCCTCCAAGGCTTCTGTGAGCATTAAATGTGTCAATTCTGTAAAATACTTCTGTAAAAGACTTAAGGAGGGATTGACTTTTTTTTTTTTTTTTTTTTAACAAGTACTATTGTTAGGAAATTCTTTTTTATACATGTGCCTTTGTATAGCATATTCCAAGCACCATAGTGTAACAATGAATCTTTACTGAAATAACACTACCCAGGTACAACAAAATCAAATCACTCTTAGAAACATCTTTTACGCCTGTGCCTTTAGGAGAGTGTATTACACACACCACAGTGGTTATTTTTATTTATTTATTTTTTTCAGAGACAGGGATCTCACTATGTTGCCCAGGCTGGCCTGGAACTCCTGGGCTCCAGTAATCCTCCCACCTCAGCCTCTGTGCCCAGTTACACACCACAGTTTTGTGAACACATTCTTTCAATGCAACAATACAGTCCTTATTCACGTATACAACTAGCACTCTTAGAAACAGCTTTCATACCTGTGCCTTCACAGAGCATATTACATACCTCAGTCTTGTGAACACATCCTTTTGAAAAGGAGGAAAATCCTTACTCATATATAAACTGGCATTCTTAGAAACATCTTTGATACATGTATCTTTTTGCACTGCATTCCAGGCACCACCGTGTGGTAAACATCCTTTGGGGGTTGGTATTTGAACAAAAAAGTGCCTCTGATGTGGTAGATACTCCACGGATATTAGCTATTAGCTAGTGTGTCATCCTTCTCCCCCTGCCCCTGCAATCCTATCCTATGTATCACCTCGGCCTGCACTATCTGGCTCCAATCACCTGTGTGACCTCACCTTCTGCCCCTCCCCGCACTCTGCTCCAGCCACACTGGCCGCCTTGATGTTCCTTGAACATGGCAGGCACCATCGCACCTCAGGGCCTTTGCACTGGCGCTGCCTTCTGCCTGGTATGCTCTTCCCCTAGACATTAAGGCTCCCTCCCTCTCCACCGTGAGGCCCTAATTCAAGAGTCATCTTCCCTGTGCCTAAGATTTCAACCACTCCCCAAGACTCGATTCCTACCTGCCCTATTTCATTATTTCTTCTCAGCATTTGTCTATTATGCTAATTTAACTTATTTTGTTCACATAGTCTGTCTCCCCAACTTGGTTTTTTTTTTTGAGACAGAGTCTCACTCTGTCACCCAGGCTGGAGTGCAGTGGTGCAATCTTGGCTCACTGCAACCTCCGCCTCCTGGGTTCAAGCAATTCTCCTGCCTCAGCCTCCCAAGTAACTGGGATAACAGGCGCACGCCACCATGCCCAGCTAATTTTTTGTATTTTAGTGGAGACGGGGTTTCACCGTGATGCCCAGGCTGGTTTCGAACTCCTGAGCCCAGGCAATCCGCCCACCTCGGCCTCCCAAAGTACTAGGATTACAGGCGTAAGCCACCGCGCCCGGCCTCCCCAACTTTAATAAATATCTGCTCCACAAGCACAGATATTTCGGCCTGTTTTGTTCCTTGCCATATTCCAGCACCTAGAAGAGTGCCTGGTACTCATGAGGGGCTCAGTAAAGGTTGGTTGCATGAACAGTCCCAACTAACTAGCTCTCATATCCCTTCTTCTTCCCCATCTGACCCCTATGCTGGTGTCCGAAATTATCTTTTTCCCATTTATTCATGGGATAAATTCTTACTGAGCAACTGCTGTTTACCTGGTACATTTTCAGTTGCTGGAGACATAGCAGTGAATGAGCAGACAAAAACTAAGTCCTCATGGGACTCACATTCTAATGTGGAGAGACAGACAACAAACAACCCACACAGTGTGTCAGACAGTGATAAAGGGCAATGGGACAAAGCAGGGACCTGGCTTGAGCCCTGCTGGGTGTGCAGCTTCAGATGACCAGGGAGGGGTTGACTTTTTTTGTTTTTACAAGTAGCATTGTTAGGAACTTCTTCTTTATACATGTGCCTTCGTATAGTATATTCCAAGCACCATGGTGTGACAATCAACCTTTACTGAAATAACACTACCCAGGTACAACAAAATCAAATTACTCTTAGAAACATCTCTTATGCCTGTGCCTTTAGGAGAGTGTATTACACACACCACAGTGGTTGTTTTTTGGTTTTTATTCAGAGACAGGGATCTCACTATGTTGCCCAGGCTGGCCTGGAACTCCTGGGCTCAAGTGATCCTCCCACCTTGGCCTCCAGAGTAGTTGGGACTATAGGTGCACACCCGTGCCCAGCTACACACCACAGTTTTGTGAACACATTCTTTCAATGCAACAACACAGTCCTTATTCACATATACAACTAGCACTCTTAGAAACAGCTTTTATATTTGTAACTTTACAGAGCATATTACATACCTCAGTCTTGTGAACACATCCTTTTGAAAAGGAGGAAAATCCTTACTCATATATAAACTGGCATTCTTAGAAACATCTCTGATACATGTATCTTTTTATACTGCATTCCACACACCACCGTGTGGTAAACATCCTTTGGGGGTTGGTATTTGAACAGAGTGCTGAAAGGAACCATGCAGAGATCCGGGGGTGGTGTTCAAGGCGCAAAGAACAGCCAATGCAAAGGCCCTGAGGCTGGCCCATGCCTGCTATGTTTGAGGAGCTGTGTGGTGGAGCCAGTGTGGTTGGAGCACAGTAAGGGGGTGGGAAGGTATAGGCGGTAATGCTAGAAAGGTTACTTGTTTCACCATTAATTCACAGGTAATATTTATTTACACTGGAGGGGATTCTAGTTCTGATCCCCCATTTCACAAATGAAGAAAAAGGCACAGAGAGGAAGTGGTTAAATCACACATCGAAGGTCACACAGCTGCTGGGATTGGGGGGTGGGTGGGTGCTGAGAGAAGGTGGGGAATGAAGACCACTCTGCAGGCAGAGGGAACAGCAAGAACAAAAGCTTGGAGGTGGGAACTAATTTGGTTTTTAACGACTGAGGCCTCACGTGGGGTGGGATGCGGTCTAAGAGGGGAGCCTCAAAAATTATCCTGTGTCCTGAGTACTTCCTGGGCCACCTTTGAGTAAGGAATTTAACCTCCCTATGGCCCAGCTTGCTCACTACCTATCTCATGGGGTTGTGGTGAGGATTAAAGGAACTCATTCATATGAAACACTCTGCCTGATACACAGTAGGTGCTCAATAAACGCTAGCTCCTACTGGTATTACCATCATCACTGGTGCTAATGTATTCACTTACTGTAGTGAGGCAGAACGTCTTTGTGGTTACTAGTGTGATCAGGCTGACCCACTATTAAGAGGTGAGGGACAGGCAAGGCCATACACTGCTCCACAAGGAAAAGAGGATCAGCACGTTCTCTTCTGGGAAGGGAAAAAAAAAAAGAAGGAAATTGAAAGTACACGGCCGACCTTCCCCCAATTACAAAGCACTGGACTCACGGGAGGGTATGCGGGGGACTGTGCACAGGGGTGTGGGGGAGGAAGGCCAATGAACAGATCCACTGCAAAGGGAGGGGTGATGAGGCTCATCGCCTGAGGGGAAGGGGAGCAGAAAACCTTACAGACTCCTGCACCACAGTGAAGGGAGAGAAAAGCCATCACACAGACTGATTCAAAGCAGAGAGGGAAAAGGCTATGGACTGAGCTACTGAAAATAGGGAGAGATAAAGCACTAAACTGACCCACTATTAAAAATAAGAGAGAACCCCAAGGGCTAGAATGACAATCTACGAAAAAGAGAGAGCAGATAGGGCAATGGACTGATAGCTAAAGGGACGTGAATCCAAACATGAAGACTGATCCACTATAAAATGGTGGTGGTGGTGGGGGCGGGGGGGAGGTGGTTCTGAAAAAAGCCATGGACTGATGCATTGGGGGACTGGAGGAGGCAGGAATACAAACTCAGGTAGACTCACTGTTAAAGAGGGATGAGGAGGGGTGCGGCGCCACGGATTGATTTCGCTACAATGTACAGGAGGGGTGGAATAAACAAGGCCACGAACGGGTCTTCTGAAAGTTGAGGCTAGGAGAAATCCAAACACTCAGATACACCTACTATTAAGGGGGCTGAACACTGTCACAGGCTGGCTCCCTGTAAGTGGGGGTGGGTGGGGGGCGGGTGGGGGTAGGGGGAAAGCCTATGGACGAGTCCACCCTAAGTTGGCGTGGGGAAAAACATAAGCACGCAGACCGATCCATTACACAACGGGAGGGGGAGGTTAGGCCACGGTCAGATCCACTACCAGGGACGAAGGGCTTGAGCAATGCCACACGCAGGTCCACCAGCCGTGGTGGTGGCGGCGGGGAGTCGAACACCAGCAGGCCACCGGCCAAGCCACATCCTTTGCGCGGGGGCGGGAAGGATACGTGGGGTCACGGACGGGGCCCTCCACCCTCCAGGCCCAGAGCTCACCTGTGTGTAGCGTGGCGGTGGCGCTGGCAATGTTGGCAGCTCCGGGGGGCGGGGGCTCCATACGCGGCCCCACCGCCCCCCAGGCCTGGGTTCCGAGGCGGCGGTGGCGGTGGTGGTGGCGGTGGCGGTGGCGGTGGCGGCGGCGGCGGCGGCAGCACCTAGAAGCCGCCCCTGCGTTTCCCTACAGCTCACGTGGGCCCGGGGAGGAGGAGCCCAGTGTCCCGCCGCTCGCTGATTGGCCAAAGCGCTATTAATCGGCCGCAAGGCCTCGAGGGGTTGGGGGACGGGCCCTTCCCCACAGAGCTGTGCCGTGATTGGCCTAAGGGGAAATGATGGAACGCTCACGGCCCCTGGAGTCCCGAGGAGGCGCGTTCGGCCTTCCCGGTGCTCTACGCCGATTGGCTCAAGGACTGACGGACTGTGAGCAACTGACGAGGCTTGGGGCGTGTGTGTAGGGGGCGGGGGGCTGCCTCACACTGATTGGCTTACATGGGATTGATGGAAGACAGCCTCCAAGGACGGGGGTGGGTAGCCCTGTTTTTCTCTGATTGGCGGATGAGGGACTCCTAGACCCCTGCCAAAACACCAAGGGGGTGGTGCCGCACGCCACGCTGCTCAGCGGAAGCAGGACTTGTATAGAAATGGGCGTAGCAGTCGGCGGGAGTGGGTCGGGCTGGGCTCCGCGTAGGCAGGCAGGGCTATTCTTTGGTTAGAGAAGACCATAGAGCTGGGTAGAAGACGAATTTAGAACACAACGGCAGTAGGAGGGCAGGATGGCTGTCAGGCACACGAAGGAGCATTGAGTGGCAGAAACGAAATGCCTTCAGAGGGCAGGGTTGAACTGTGGCCAGAGTTAAAAAGGGGAGGAACCTGGCTCTGCGTTGATTGGCGGAGGCTGGACTCAACCTAGAATAGGGGCCGGACTAGGGAGAGCGGGATCCAGCTCCGTGCCTATTGGAAGCTGGAACCACTTACAATAGCAGGGGCTAGGACAAGGTAGGGCTGAGATGGATTTAGGGTAACGATTGGGTGTGTGAAAGGGTAAACCTTAGGGCCCTTTGATTGTTGTGGGAATGAACAAACCTCCACCATGAATTGGCCCATTCTCTATGGCAATTCAAAGGGTGGTGTCTAGGAAAAGGAATGGAAGGGTGAGGTGGGGGCCCAGGTTGCCAAAATGACAGGAGAGAGGGCAGTGCACAAGGTCAACTGGCAAATGCTGCCAGGCAACAGGCTGGAGGCAGGACTGTTGGGGCATTTTAGAGGTTCCACAGAAAGAGACTGGATCTCTGGGTCTCTCAGTAACTTTGTGCCCTAGGAACAGGCCCCGTGGCAACCAGCAGGGTTTATGGGGAAAAAGAAGGGCCATGTGACTCAAAGGCATTCAGGCTCTTTAATGTCTGAGGATAGGGGGAAGAAGTCAATGGTGAGGCTTCTCTGGGCAATTCTGCAGGCCTTGTAGTTCTCTAAGCCCCTGAAAAAGAGGACAGAAGAGACTGAACAAAGATTGAGTCTGGGTTACGCCCCCAGGCTTGCTCTGACCTCCCTCCCTTGACTCGTTTAAAGGGAAAGATGGTCCTTCCCTTCTTTCGCTCTCTCCTTTCTTCAGGTCACCACCCTAAACACAGAGTCTGGTAGTGGGGTGAGCTGCTCTCACCTCTAGCAACATGTGGATATGGGCTTTGATATTCATGGAGTCCTTGGTGAGGCTGTTGCTGAGCCTAGAGAAAAGAAACAAAGGGCAAAATGGGCCCCACTTATGAGTATGAGGAGGACCCTTCCTTATCACTTCAAGATCTACTTATATCTTGGATGATTTCCACCTGGCTCACTCCTATGCAGAAATGACAAGCCACCATCTGGTTTTCACTGATTCAAAGATTATTAAATGCCTACTGTATGCCAGGCGATTTTAGGCACTGGGGAAATAGCAGCAAACACAACAAACAAAACTCCTGGCCTGATGGACTTCAAATTCTTGTAAAGAGAGACAGACAAAAAAACTGATGGAATAAAAGATGTTGTGTCAGATGGTTCTAACTACAATTAAAAAATTTAAAAATGAGAGAGAATAAGGAGTACGGGAGTGGGGGGCTGCAATTTTAAATAGAGGGCTCAGGGATGGCTTCACTGAGAAGCACTTGAGTAAAGACTTAAAGACAGTGAATTTTGAGTAGGGTGGCTATATGGAGGATGTGTTCCACACACAAGGGGCAGCAAACACAAAGGCACTGAGGTGGGTGTGTGCCTGGCATGTTTGAGGTGCAGCAAACAGGCCACTCTGGCTGAAGGAGAATAAGTGAAGGGGGAATGTAAGAGGTGAGGTCAGAGAGGTAATGAGGGAGGCAGACTGTGTGAAGCTTACAAGGCCATGGTAAGGACCCTGGCTTTGACCTTAAGTGAGATGGGAGCCAAGGGAAGGTTGTGGCAGAGGAAGGAGGTTGAATTACATGAACCAGTCAGTTGACTCCTTTTCTCTAAGCCAGTTTGGATCAGATCTCACCCAAAAGAATCCTAATTGATATAAAGGGTCAAGGAAGGCCTTTCTGAAGAATGAAGAATGAGAAGGAACCAAAGAATGCCTAATGGTTAAGCAGTAGGAAGGCCTTTTCCACAAAAAGGCCAAGAGGCAACAAAGAGCTGTTTGAGAGGCAGTGAGGTCAGAGCATTAGAAATTAAGTGAGTGGTGAGGGAAAGTGGCGTAAGACAAGGTCCAAGAGGTAGGAGGAGGTTAGATCAGGCAGGGTCTTGATATAATGATAAGGAATGTGGATTTTATTGTGCTGTCAATGTAGGAGTCAGTTTGAGGGGTAAATGAAACTAAATACTGTTGGAAAAGTAGAGAGCAATAAGATAGGATGTTAAATTGGGAAAAAAAAGTAGTACGAACCCATGTATATACCAATATCTCCCACGTTTTTATTTCTACCCCAGAACTCTCTCTTGAACTTGACTAGGAGTTTTAATGACATCTTCTAAAACTCCACTTCAGTGTTTAATAAGTACCTCATACTTAACAGGTTCCAGACTAAACTCCTGACCTTCCCCTCCAAATCTACTCCTCCCCTATCTTCTCCATCTCAGATAATGGCAACTCCATCCTTCCAGCTGCTCAGCCAAAAACCTGGACTCCTCTCTCTCTCACACTTCACATCCAGTCAGCCATTCTTCTTAAATCACGACTGTTCCATTGCAGGTAATGCTTCTGATCTCCATGATATGCTTTCTCCATAGCACTGTCAACATCTGACATACTACATCATTCATTTATTGTTTGTCTCCCCTGACTAGAATGTCAGCCGTATGAGGGCAGATTTTGGTCTTTTTTGTTTCCTGCTCTATCCCCAGGGACCAGAACAGTGTGAGGCACAGAGCAGGCACCCAACGTATGCTGAATGAATAAGTGATTACTCCATTCAAAGGAACCTGAAGTTGGTTGAGTGTACGTTTAGGGACAGGAAATAAATGAAGTATGGGTGTTGTTGTCAGAGAGCATGAATACTTTCAAGAATATTCTGGGGGTAATGCTTAAATAATGGAAGAATGAACCTGATCAGCTCCTAAGGGACAATTTGAACATCAAAAAAGAGAACAAAATTAGTTAATGGTATCAGCTTAGCTTATGAAAACCTATGAGTTCAACATTTTAAAAGGGAGAAAAATAGAGTTCACCAAATGCTAGCTGTAACACAAAAGGGATGTTTATCACTACTGATTTTTATTTGCTATGTGGAGAAGCAAATTACTACTGATTTAGTATGTAAGGCAGTGTGAATAGTCATATAGTTAGGCTGTTTCTTCTTCTTTTTTTTTTTTTGAGACGGAGTCTCACTCTGTTGCCCAGGCTGGAGTGCAGTGGCGTGATCTCAGCTCACTGCAACCTCCACCCTCTGAGTTCAAGTGATTCTCCTACCTCAGCCTCCTGAGTAGCTAGGATTACACACCTCTGCCATCGCTCCTGGCTAATTTTTTGTATTTTTAGTAGAGACAGGGTTTCACCATCTTGGCCAGGCTGGTCTTGAACTCCTGACCTCGTGATCCGCCCGCCTCAGCCTCCCAAAGTGCTGGGATTATAGGCATGAGCCACTGTGCTCAGCCGTTATGCTGTTTCTTCTATAATTACATGTCTATTCATGAGATATGGATGTGTACTCCTTTCTGTGTCACCAGGAAAGAATATACAGAGATTTCATCCTTTCTACTTCCCAAAGAAAGAAATACACTAATAACAGGAAGAACTGACACTTTTGATCACATGAAATGACCAGAAAGTTAGTTCAAAGTATATCCCAAGTAACCAAATATTTTAAAGAGGAGAGCCAGCTACATAGACTCAAATCCTCACCTCTTAGAAAAATCAAACATCTAGACAGTCCTACTAATTACAATAAAGCAGTAAGAGTCAACCATATTTTTCATCACACTAATAGACCAGGTCAGTATATCAAAAAGACCAGGCAAGGGAGGCAGGCACTGACAATTTAAATACTTCATTTTGGGGAAGTACATGGAATCTCAAAAAAATTAAAATCTATTTGATAGGCTCAGAAATCCTGTGACATAACAAGGAAAGCCTTCTTATACAAACTGGACTTTAGCTGGGCGCGGTAGCTCACACCTGCAATCCCAGCACTTTGGGAAGCTGAGGTGGGCGGATCACCTGAGGTCGGAGTTTGAGACCAGCCTGGCCAACATGGCAAAACCCTGTCTCTACTAAAAATACAAAAATTAGCCGGGAGTGGTGGTGGGTGCCTGTAGTCCCAGCAACTTGGGAGGCTGAGGCAGGAGAATCCCTTAAGCCCAGGAGGCAGAGGTTGCAGTGAGCCAAGATCGCACCATTGCACTCCAGCCTGGGCGACAACAGCAAAATTCCTTCTCAAAAACAAACAAACTGGACTTGGTCTAAATGACCATCAGTTCAGAATTGTGTTGACCATGAAAGCAGGCCATTTCATTAAACTATATGCTAATTGGTCTGAACACCAAGAATCAGAAATCTCAGCAGGTCTGAGGTTCTTTTGGGTCCACTAACACCTGCTAGTCCTTCCCATGACTGGAAAGGTTTGAAAAGATTAAAATTACTGAAACCCTAAGGGAGGCAACTCTGGAAAAAATGAATGTAGGAAGACATAAATGTAACCAACAAAGAAGTTTAGATCAATGGTATTCACACTTGTGAGATGTTATTAATCTAAGTGTATTTCTCAGTGCCCCCATGCTCATTGCATTGAAACCAAGCTCACCTCTCTTGGTAGTTTCTCTAGCATGCCAGGCACACTATTCCTCTTGCCAGGAATGCTCTTCCCCAGATAGCCCCATGGCTTCTTCACTCAGTCAAATGATTCAAATGTCCCTTCCTCTGGGAGGCCCTCCCTAGCTACATTTCAAATCCCTCATCTATGCTCCAAACTGCCCTTCCCTGCACAAAACCATAAATCAAGTTTGTCCAACCCTCAACCAGTGGGCCACATGCGGTCCAGGATGGCTTTGAATGCAGCCCAACACAAATTCATAAACTTTCTTAAAACGCTATGTGATTTTTTTTGCAACTTTTTTTTTCTTTTTTAGCTCATCAACTATCATTAGCATTAGTGTATTTTATGTGTGGCCCAAGACAAATCTTCTCCCAATGTAGCCCATGGAAGCCAAAAGATTGGACACTCCCGCCTTAAACTCAACTGGAGCCCACACTTTCTCTTCCCATCACCACCAACACATATCTGCTTCAATAACCACTTTAATTTGCTTCCAGCATACCCTTTCAAATTATTTCAACAAACACAAAGCCAGGCACAGCAGTGCGCCTATAGTCCCAGTTACTTGGCAGGCTGAAGCAAGGGGATTGCTTGAGCCCAGGAGTTTGAGGACGTAGTATGCTATGATCGCAGCTATAAACAGTCACTGCATTCCAGCCTGGGCAACACAGGGATACACCATCTCTTAAAAACAAAAACAGAGTGTTTACTCTATGTTTGTACTACTCTAGTCACCTGGGATATAAACCAAAGCTCCCCCTTTGTAAAACTTACATTCTAATTGAAGGAGACAATATGAGAAAGCAAGAAATTACATAGTAAATATTAGGGAGTGATAAGTGTTAGGGAAAAAAAGTAGACGGAAGGGAATCAAGCATGCCAGGGGCTGTGATTTTAAAGTTAGGTTACAGAGGGCCTCATCGAGGAAGCGACATTTAAGCGAGATGAGTGAGGAGAAAAGAAGCCATGTGGGTACTGGGGAAAAGGGCAGTGCAGGCAGAGAGAACAGCTACGGCAATTGCCCTGGGGTGGGATCATTCTTGGGGTGCTGAAAGAAGCATGTGAAGGTCAGTGTGGCAGGAACACAGTGAATGAATAGTAAAATTAGCAGGAAGTGAAATCACAGGTAACTAGTTTTCTTGTTACCAACTCTAACAGGCTGAGACCTCATGGATCTGGTCATAATTGTATTTATGTATAACAGTCTAGTCCTTCTAGATTTTAAGCCTTCAAGGAACTCTTCTGTCTTGTTCACTGCTGCATTCCCACTGCTAAGCACAGTGCCTGGCATACAGAAGATTCCCAATAAATGTCTGCATGAATGAACGATACAAAAATCATTTTTTGAATGCTTATTATGTGCTATACATGGGCTTTGCAACCACATTTCTTCAGCCCCAGCTCTGAGGAGGAGGGGAGATGAGTCCTTAAGTATCATTCTAGGCAGCCATGGGGAAAGGGAGAAGAGTGTTGGAAATGGTGGTATTTTTACACACTATCCTCATGGAATGGACTTACTCTGTGAGGAGAGAGCTCTTACGATCAATGAACTTGAGAGCTTCTGCCAGTGTCAACTCCAGGAAAAAACCATATCCCAGGGCCACATAGATGCGTGAAGTATCTGGGCTGAGGAAAGAGAGGTTAGAGGAAGTGCGGGGGAAGTCCTTATCACTGTTTAGCAGGGTTTATGTTTTGCTCCCCACCCTTCCCCAAATTGAGGCTCTGGGAAGGCAGGGATTTTGTCCTATTTTATTCACTGTCACATCCCCAGCGCCTAGCTTATATCCTACTGGGATAATAAACCTCGTATAGTGCCTGGTACATAGAAGATACTCAAAAAAATATATGTTGCATGAGGGAAGGGGTAAGCTGAACCCTGTGGGCTCAGAGGGGCGGGTAGACACTCACACCACTGTGTCAACGAAGAAGTTACAGCCCAAATCCACCTGCATATATAACTCCGAGTGCTTAGCTTCCTGTGGGGCCAGGGAAAAAGAGGTAGGGGTCAGTGGTGAACTCTTAGGTTACGTGACAGGTTTGGCTCTGGAGTCTCTCTTCCCATTTCCCTCCCTTGCCCACACACACCAAAAAAATGATACCCAACCCCATAGTCTTTACCTGGAGTCGCTCAATGACATTTCTCAGTTGAAGGTATTTAGCCAGCTGCTCATATACCTTGTCTCGATGGTCCAGCACCTTTCTGATGGGATGAAAGTACAATGGTGACCAATAGGCAGCCCCATTCCTCCTAGTATACCTCATATCATGACCCTCTGAGACTCTCACGTCACCATACGCTGAAAAGGCTTTTTAGTGTACAAGTTAATTTTGGGCTCTGGGTCACACTGCCTGGGTTTGGATCTGGGCTCTGTCCTTTATAGATGTGTGGCTTTGGCAAGTAAGTAACCTGTTTGGGACTTGGTTTCCCCATTTATAAAATGCAGATGACAGTATTACCTTGTAGAGTCATTAGCATTAAATGAGCATTTACTCAAAGCATCTAGAATAATGCCTACCAAATGGTAAACTCTCTACATGTTAGCTATTATTACTATTACTACACTCCCAATACTGAACTCCAATCATAATGTCCCATCCTCACCCTAGAAAAATCCTCCATCCCTTTTAGGACGCTCATAGTCCTAGTTCTGAACACCTTACTTCTTGCTTAGATTAACAAAAATTGCAATAATATTTCTTCATACTTATTGAACCTCTACTATGTTTCAGGCATCCATGCTACTAAATTATTTACAAAGATGGGACATATGAAAAACTCAAAACCACTGCATGGAGAAGGTTCCAGAAAACTCCCCATTTCACAGAGAAGTTTATAGGGCACAGAAAGGCGAGGTATGACGTATTCACAAGGATGAAAAATGGCCGAGCCAGGATTTGAACCTGAGAACTGTGGCTCCAGAAAACAAGCCCTAATCCGTCAAACATCGGAGGCCGCGCATGCGCTGACACGCTCCCTGCTATGAACGCCACGTCCCAGCCAAACTGCACCCCGGATATCATCCCCACTTCACGCTCCAAGGAGCGCGGGGCCGGACTCTGAACGCCTCGCCCACCAATCCAAAGGGTTGGCCCTAACTCTGAACGCCCCACCCACCACGTGGAATGTTCCAAACGCCCCGCCCTCCGCACTGTCACTCACCGCAAGTCCCGCTGCAGCACGTCACTGATGAAGGTCTCGTAGCGCAGTACTTTCTCCCCCGTGGCCTCCACCGCCCGCCGCTTAGGGGGCGTCGCCATGATGGGCTCCTGGGGAGTGGGGAGGGGGAAGACCACGTTGACCGCTCCAGTTTGGCCTCACACACAGTTCATCTCTACCCTCTCAACGCTGGGAATCGACTTGTCCGGCTCAAGCTGGGGGCTCAGCCTTCCGCCCCTCCCAACTCGGGGACCCGGCCACCCAGGGACACCCAAGCACGGCCTTTACCTCAGGGCCGCCAGCAATAAGAACGGTTGGTAGGAACCGCGGCTTCCGGGTGGCGCGGGTGAATGACGTAAGTGGCAAGCGCGTTGGCCAACCAAATAGCCAGCTGGGGAAGACGGGCCAAAGGGGAGAAGAGAAGGGCGGGGCTTCACGGAATCCGAGGAGATCAAAGATGATCAGGGCGTGGGAGCAGGCCATCTGGCAATAAACCGGCCAATGGGGGACTGCAAAAGCGGCGCGTGGAGCCTATGGAGACCGTGCGTCGCTGGTGAGGGTGGGATTTAATGGGATTTGGCGGTTCTAAGTTAGGCGCGACGCACAGGTAGAGGTAGAGAGAGGAAGTGAAGAGTTTAATATTTAAAAGGACCTAAGAATTGACTATGGTTCTGGTCTATAAGGAAACTCCCGTGTGATCTGTCGGCTTGGATATTGATTTGTCATACGGGAGGTTTGGGTTTCACTCCTGGCAATGGGACTGAGTATGAGCACTTAAAAGGTTTTAAACAGAGACAGATTTTCTAAAATTCATCTTTGATAACTCCAGCTCTGTATCTGCAACCTACAACTGAGGCTCAAGCGGAAATTGACAACGCACTATATCGAATCACCTCGTTTGATAGTCAAATGGAGAGGGTGGCTGAAGTCCTCTGCAGAATATTGGCCATCTTGTAGTTAGGCATAGTTCCCATGTTTTTATTTAAATGGTAAGGTTTTTGTGAATTTATTCTTATGCACTGGAGTGACTGAGTGAATTTGTTTTTCAGGTTAGATTTTTTTTTTAAAAATTATACTTTAAGTTCCAGGGTACATGCACACAACGTGCAGGTTTGTTACATATGTATACATGTGCCATGTTGGTGTGCTGCACCCATTAACTCATTAGGTGTATCTCCTAATGATATCCCTCCCTCCTTCCCCCTCCCCACAATAGGCCCCGATGTGTGATGTTACCCTTCCTGTGTCCAAGTGATCTCATTGTTCAGTTCCCACCTATGAGTGAGAACATGTAGTGTTTGGTTTTCTGTTCTTGTGATAGTTTGCTGAAAATGATGGTTTCCAGCTGCATCCATGTCCCTACAAAGGACACGAACTCATCCTTTTTTATGGCTGCATAGTTATTCCATGGTGTATATGTGCCACATTTTCTTAATCCAGTCTGTCACTGAAATGCCTTAAATTCAGGTTAGATTTTCAAACAAGAACTTATAACCCAGCAAGAATGGGCCTTTGCCTGGAGAAGAATCCAGACCATGGGATGAATCCCCAAATGCTATTTCCATCTATAGAGCTTAGAGCACCCACCCCTACCAAGGAAGTCTTCCCAGATAATTTGTGTTTCATATGTAAAAGCAAGTTTTTTTTCAAATGCTGAAAACCCAAGCAAGTTAAGCCTTTCCTTCCTTCCTTCCTTCCTTCCTTCCTTCCTTCCTTCCTTCCTTCCTTCCTTCCTTCCTTCCTTCCTTCCTTCTTTCTTTCTTTCTTTCTTTCTTTCTTTCTTTCTTTCTTTCTTTCTTTCTTTCTTTTTCTTTCTCCTTCCTTCCTTCCTTCCTTCCTTCCTTCCTTCCTTCCTTCCTTCCTTCCTTTCTTTTCTTTCTTCTTTTTTTTTTTTTTTTTTTGACAGAGTCTTTGTCCCTAGGCTGGAGTGCAGTAGTATGACCATGACTCACTGCAGCCTCAACCTCCCAGGCTCAAGCGATCCTCCCGCCTCAGCCTCCCGAGTAGCTGGGACTACTGGCATACCCATGCCCATCTAATTAAAAAAAAAATTTTTGTAGAGACAAAGTCTCACTATGTTGCCCAGGCTGGTCTCAAACTCCTGGGCAGGTAGTTGCCTGCCTCGCCTCCCAAAATGCCAGGATTATAGGCATGAGTTAGCACACTTGGCAAAGTTAAGCTTTCCTTTGCCCTTAGAACGAGATAATTGTAAAATGAAAACATTGAGACTAATTTTTTTTTTTTTTTTGACAGAGTCTTTGTCCCCTAGGCTGGAGTGCAGTAGTATGACCATGACTCACTGCAGCCTCAACCTCCCAGGCTCAAGCGATCCTCCCGCCTCAGCCTCCCGAGTAGCTGGGACTACTGGCATACCCATGCCCATCTAATTAAAAAAAAAATTTTTGTAGAGACAAAGTCTCACTATGTTGCCCAGGCTGGTCTCAAACTCCTAGGCTTGAGTGATTTGCCTGCCTCGGCCTCCCAAAATGCCAGGATTATAGGCATGAGTTAGCACACTTGGCAAAGTTAAGCTTTCCTTTGCCCTTAGAACGAGATAATTGTAAAATGAAAACATTGAGACTAATTTTTTTTTGTCTGTAAATCTCATGTTACATATAGTTTAAATTACATTGAGTGTGATTGGAATAGGTACTAGGTAGACAAATATTATCTAGTTAATCTATACCTACCACTTTCCTGTGAAAAGAGAGAAAATAAGACACTTACATTTATTTAACAGAGAACACAGTTCTGATAGGCTGGAGATGAGTCTATGTAAGTTTATTAACTTACATTTCACAAAAAAGCATTTTTTACTTAAAAATATATTTCCAACTTTGTTTTTACATTTCAGACCTACAGAAAAGTTGACAGTGAACACTCATATACCCTGCACTTAGGTTAGCCAATTGTTTTATTTTGAATTTTTAAAATTTGTTTAGAGGCAGGATCTTGCTCTCTTGCCTAGTCTAGAGTGCAGTGGTGTGATCTCGGCTCACTGCAACCTCCACCACCGGGCTCAAGCGATCCTCCCGCCTAAGCCTCCTGTATAGCTGGAAATGGGGTTTCACCGCCCAGGCTGTCTCGAACTCCTGAGCTCACTCAGTTCACCCAACTTGGCCTCCCAGGGTGCTGGGATTGCAGGCGTGAGCCGCTGCACTCAGCCTGGATTCACTCGTTAATATTTGATCACATTTGCTTTCTTTCCAGACCACAGGATAATTGTTGACATGGCTGCATAGCATTCCATTCTTTGAATGGCCTCAGATTTTTGAGCCACTCCTCTGTCACTGGATATTTGAATGTGTCCAGATATTTTCATTGTTATAACCAGAATGGGATAACAGTCTTTGCTGTCAAATTTTTGTGCGGAGCCATGATTATTTCCTTGTGATAAATTCCTAGACGTAGAATTTATAGATTTTTTTTTTTAATTTTTTTTGAAACAGAGTCTCGCTTTGTTGCCCAGGTTGGAGTGCAGTGGTGTGATTTCTGCTCACGGCAACCTCCACCTCCCGGGTTCAAGTGATTCTTCTGCTTCAGCCTCTGGAGTAGCTGGGACTATGGGCACACACTACCACGCCGCCCAGCTAATTTTTGTATTTTTAGTAGACACAGGGTTTCACCATGTTGGCCAGGCTGGTCTCGAACTCGTGACCTCAAGTGATCTGCCCACCTTGGCCTCTCAGGATGCTGGGATTACAGGCATGAGCCACCTCACCTGGCTGAATTTATGGATTTAAGGGAGGTCACTGCATTCTAAATCAAGTGTTGGGTGACAGTGGTATGCATAATAGTGAACCTCCTCATCTAAGCTCTACATCAGGGGTCAGCAAATTATAGCCCCTGGTTTGCTGACCCTTTACAGCTTCCTATAGCCTGCAAACTGGGAATACTATTTACATCTTTAAAGGACTTGAGAAAAGTAAAAAGAGAATATTTTGTGACACATCAAAATTATATGAAATTTGCATTTTAGTGTCCATTAATAAAATTTTCTTGGAACACAAGTCTTACTCATTCGTTTACATATTGTCTGTTACTGCTTTCATGCTATAAGGGCAGAGTTGAGTAGTTGCCAAAGAGACCACATGGTATGGATATCCTAAAGTATTTACTATCTGGCCTTTTACAGAAAAGATTTGCCAATCCCTGCTCTGTACAATGTCACCAATATAGAGGTTGGGGCTCTAACCAGGTGGGTCTCCCCGGCTTCCGCTGGTAACCTCTTAACCTGGCTTATGGGTGTGCATTTTCAGGCTGGTGCTTCTAGGAGATAGGAGAGACATAGTCAGCCTGTTTCCAGCTCCAAGATGTGAGATGGATTGTGTCTCTTATGTCTGCATTTGTATCTTCTCTCCTTTCCATCCAACTTCCTGCCCCCAGCTCTGACTCATAGGTCTCTGTCTTTGCCTTTTCCCAAGAAGAGCAAGAAATGACTAAGGCCCAGGGGAGGCTGCATTTCCCTGATAGCTAATGATGTAGAACATCTTGCCATGTGCTTATTTGTCATCTACATGTCCTTTATGGTGAAATGTCTCTTCACATTCTTTGCTCATTTTCCAAATGGATTGCTTAAAAAAACAAAAAAACAAACAAAAAAAAACTTGAGTTTTGAGAGTTCCTTACATACTCTAGATATGAGTTCTTTGTTAGATATGTGGTTTGCAAATATTTCCTCCCAGGCAGTAGTTTGTCTTTTTTTCCTCTTAACAAGGTCTTTGTTAGAGCAAACACGTTTAATTTTGAAGTCTAGTTTATTGATTTAAAAACATTTTTTTGGATCCTGCTTTTGTTGCTGTGTCTAAGAACTCTTCACAAGCCCTAGCTCCCAAAGACGTTCTCCTGTGTTTTATTTTTAAAGTTTTTAAATTTTATCTTAGACGTTTAAATCTGTGATCTGTTTTTTAAAAATAGCTTTACTGCGATGCAATTCACATACAATAAAACCCACACATTTGAAGTATACAGTTCGGCAGTTTTTAATATATTCACAGAGTTGTACGAACATCACCACAATCTAACTTTATTTTTTTAATAATTGTTTTTGTTTTTGAGACAGGGTCTCACACTGTCACCCAGGCTGGAGTGCAGTGGTAGGATCTTGGCTCACTATAGCCTCAACCTCTCGAACACAAGCGATCCTCCCTGCCTCACCCCCTCAAGTAGCAGGGACTATAGGCATGTGCCACCACGCCGACTAAGTTTTGTATTTTTTGTAGAGATGGAGCTCCGCTATGTTACCCGGGCAGGTCTTGAACTCCTGAGCTCAATCGATCTGCCCACCTCGGCCTCCCAAAGTGCTGGGATTACAGGCATGAGCCGCTGTGCCCAGCAATCTAGAGTATTTTCATCACCCCAAATAGAACTCCTGTGCCCACTCCTCAGTGTGCTCTCCCCACCCCAGC